AGCACCCCTAGCCTCGGCTCCCATTTGCTGAGGAAAAGGACTGAAGCAATGTCAAGGAGAACTGTTCAAGAACAGCTGTGTCACAAATACAGCTTCAGAGCTTCATTTTTCCAGCATTTCAAATTATGTGGTTATAAGCATGACCTTACATTGGCATGTAAAATGTAATTTTGTTGTTACAGGGAAAATGGTGGCCCATCCACCTCAAAGGACAGTTTTCTGAAATTCAGAAAGGTTCCTGAATGCATCTGACAGATAGGACAGGTCACACAACAGCACAAATTGGAAAGAGAGGGTTTATCCATTGACTGCAAATTGAGGACTGAGTTTGTAATGTCATCCAATCTACAAATGAGGACGGTCTCCTTTGCACATCATTGTTGCAATACTTTGTTTCTACAAACTAAGAATCACACAATACACAGCAACTAAAAAGAAGAATCTTGTGCCAGTAACTCCTCTACACGTTCATTTAACAGTCTGAAAATTCTTAAGGCATACAAACAACTTGAAAAACAGCAAAAAGTCTCAGTAATAAGTAAATAGGTTATACAGACCTTGCCATAAGGAGTATCAACATATTTTTCTGTTCTTCCTTCTAAGATATCTGGATCATCCAGGCCAGTTCCACCAATAATTCCGATCTTAAACAGAAAGTACATATTAGTTTTCTTGTGATTTACATGTACCAGCATGCCTGAAAAGCTAACCAGGCAGCTACAAAATGTATTTTCTACTTGAGATGGGGCTTGACTACAGATCAACAAAACACAGTATGCCCACAGTTTCCCAGAGTGGAAATTTCATATAATTGATTTCAAACAACTGTATTTAACTTGCCAATTTCTTACCTTATGATTCTCCTCTTTGAGATACTCATTTTAAAAAAAAGATATGGAAAAATGCACAAAGATGCACCAATTCAGCATTTATGTCCAATACAAAAATGCAGAGTGTTATTTGGGAATGCCTCTAATGAGTGTGAAATACACATATAAAGCACATTATAACAAAGGCTTGCTGTTTACATGGAGAAAACCAGTCTAGACACAACCACCATACTGAACACCAGACATCACTATATTGCATTACACATCCAAAATAATGCAAACCCTTTCAAAAAACATTAAGCTTTTGTCATGACTTGACAAGATCTAAGAAGTTCCCCAACTAAAATCCCTGTTGTATTTTGATGCCATTTATAGTGAAGAAGCATGAAGTGACTCACAAGTGTCACCTATCAGCCATCCTTCAGTAATCACCAGTTTCTTGTTCTTGCTCATCTGTTCTAGTTCTTTCATAAAAAGTGGAAAAAGAAGCTAATTTGAAATATATATTCTCACTGAGATTAAATCTGCCTGTGATTTCATACTCCAGCGAAAGAAAAATGCATCTGAATTTTCTTGTTTCTAGTTCATCACTGGAAAGTGACTTGCTTTTGTCTCTCTAGGGATAATTCCATTTTCAATCAAGACAAGTTTCCTCTTGAGTTCAGAACACTTCTGGCTCTTTGGATGGAGTAAGTACTGTCAAGCCCTTCACAACCTAAAGCTTAGTAATGGTATTTAAAAATGATATCACCATTTCTCACGCAGAGAGAAAGTATTAGTGCTTTTTGGTTTTTTTTCATCATAATCAGTTGTTACAAAGTTTGTCTCACTTTTAAGTTGAAGAATTCATAAAATGACTGAGTTGCTTATCATGGAAAAACAGAGCTGGAATAATTCTGACAAAACTTACTATCACAAAGACTGAAAATTTCCCCAGTAAAACCTTCAGACTTCAACATACAACATCCCACTTCTACAACACACACACAACTGCCTCTTACTCTAGCTTTTTCTTACCTTCACATTCATAGAGATCCCATTTGCTCAACCACTGTATTCGCTGGCTCACCAAGCCTTTTGCTTCAACAAGCAGAAACCCTTCGTTAAACATCAAATACTTCCCTAAGAAAGCTTTCTACACCAGATGGTGTAAACGCTGATACAACGAGGGAGTTTTAACCCATCTCCTACTTCCTTTTGCTACCCCCTTGTGGAGCACAAGGAGTAGTGCAAAGAAAAATAGCAGTAAAGATCCACGAACTCCAGCCCTGAATACACTCAAGTATAAGACCCACATCACTGTTTGCAGCGGTGTTGATAGGTCTGTTCCCATGTTGCTCGTGTTGCTTAGTTATCAGGTACATTCAGACTGTCAGACTGCTCATGAAAATCCTGAAAACTATATACACTTTTAGATGACTAGCATACTGCTTTAAGAATCGTGGAAGGTGTGCAGCAGGGGCAATCATGAAACTCAAAATCAGCAAAAGACTATTTTCAACTCTGTTCATGTCTGCGTTCAGTAAACACTGATGATTCTACATTAAAAGAAGACAGGAGCAAAATGGTGCTTTTTTTATCTAGAAAAAAATGGCACCTTCATTAACTTTCAGTTTGGTATAATGCTTGTTTTACTAGTGCCCTATGACTTCAGATTAAGAACATTCAAAAGCAACTGCTTACGATCCGAAACTTTTATGTCTGGCAAAGTGAAAGTTATTTGGAGTGAGGAAAACAGTGCAATGCTAGAGACAACAGCTACAGACACACGATATAAAAGTTACTTTGGAACTGCAGTGCCCTAAGGTCCTTACGAACACACAGACCCATCACTGTTAGACTGTTCCTGCATCAGACAGCAGCACACCTGATGTGTGGCAGCACAGGCCTGGTAAGGCTGCTTAAAATTTGCCGTCAGGCTGCCTGTTCCTGCTGCAGCAGTGGCATCAGTATGTGCTTGTGCTGTACTGTTCAGTTCCCCAACAGGCTTTTACACCAACGGCCATGCTGTCAGAAATGCCAGCAGTGCAATGAGCTTGCAAAATACAACTCCCAGGGTGGAGAACCCACAGCACAGAAGAGCAAGACTATGCTGATTTTGCTTCCGCCTTCTTCCTCACTGCAAAACACCCCAGTGGAACTCTGGTCAACCCCCAGGCCACCCAAGACAACACTGGCTAGAGAAATGCTGTGCTCACTTATAATTCACTGGAAAGCTACTCCAGTATAAGGAAAATTAGGCCAGCAGAGACTTCTTGAAGCAGCTGCTTCTTCAACCACGTAACGTCAATTTAGTGCTGGCAGCTCTAACCCTAAAGTTAATTTTTCCTTTCTGCCAGAAAATTATTTTTCCTTCAGTTTCCATAATCTCCAAAAAAACTATTTGCACCCGGGATCTAGACACAAAGATCTGATTCAATATAAAATTCTGCTTTCTAAACCTCCTGGTTCGGACAAAAGGAACACAGATGCTCTAGGCTGAGTGGGGAGATAGCCTGTTAAGGGAGCTGAGGCCTGTGTCCACCTACCAGCCCAGGCACTGAAGGTATGGAATGGTAGAGAGGACTGAACTCAGGGAGAACAGTCTCACCTCTCCTCAAAAGCCAGAGCTGGTCACACCTAGGAGTGATCACAAGAATGGAAAGGTGCAAGACTATAGGCTCCTTTCCAAACTCAGCATCCTACAAAGGGACACGAAGGACATAACCTGTAAAAATTAATGGAGGCTGTATCTAAGGTTGTCTGGAATAAAATAGAAAGTAAAACGTACTGCAGTGGAGTGAAACATAAACTATTTACCATGCTAAAGTCCATCTCAAACATCGGGATGAAGCACAACAAAAGCAAAACCTAACAGTTATGACACCAGTAACTACAACATTGACCACATTTCTCTGTGGGAATCCAGGTAACAATCACACTGAAGCATATGCCTTTCTTCCCCTAATGTTTGGAGAAATTCCCCAAGCAGGTTAAAACATGAGGCAAGTGCAGTAACAGCCTACACTTGTCCACTTGAGGGTCTTAAACAGTAGTACATGTCAAGCATTGTCATGACCAGCTATGAGCCTTTGTGAAAACTACCCACCTAGGAAACTTTCTTTATTTCTCTCTTCTGTTTTGGGGATACTGAGAAGAGGAAGAGGATGGGATGAAAAAGGCTTGTGCTTAAAAGGAGATATAAACATCAAACTGCATACAACTTATAGTTAAGAGAATAAACCTGTAAAACAAAGCTTGTAAAGTGTTTCCTACACACCAAAACAACTGGGCGAGTTGCCACACCTCAGAAAAAGTACCGGTAGTTTGTCAAAACACCGACCCGGAGTT